CAACCTTGTGGAATTTGTGATAACTTCTTAGCACATTCATTTTATTAAAGCCATGCTTTGAAATTCTATAATAGGCCACAATCTATGTTCAATCATAGAAAGTATAGTATTTTTTTACACTACAGGATAAACAACTGAGGTGAAGTTCTTAAGAAGGTTGACATAGAGTAAACCAGTGATGGTGCTATGACCTTAAAATTTTAGTAGACTTAAGTTCTTAAGAAGGTTGACATAGAGTAAACCAGTGATGGTGCTATGACCTTAAAATTTTAGTAGACTTATAAGCAGATAGTTCTCGCTTTATCTCCCTAGATTGCAGGGAAAAGGTTATCCAGAGTAAGCATTCGTCCCTTTTTATCATCCAATCAGTTTCCAATACTCGTATTCTACTTAATTGCCTTGCAATGTTTCACATTATACCAATTGCCTAACTGAGACTACCAGGAGGAAAAAAAAACACTAGACAAAGACTTTTAAACATACTCCACTTTCAATCACAAAAATCCCCATAAAACAAAATTTCTCAATTAACACTAAAAATATTTCTAACCAAAACCCACTATTTTCTTAAGATTTCAACCAAACCTAATCGAAGAAATTTCGACAAATTTTTCAATAATTCTTAATTTCTAGTAAAACCCCTAAATTATATTTTTTTCCAGATCAAGCACTCATCAACAAATTTATGCATAGTAATAAAGAAGAAAGTTTAATTTACCTTCTAAAACATGGTCTTCAGGTCCAATAGAAGAATCCTTACAAACATCACAAACAACTCTTCCATGAATTTCACCAGTCCATCCTTCTACCCCACAACATAAAATAACCATTAAAACATAAACAACAACACAAATCTTCATTATTATCAAAACCCTTTTCTTCTCCAATTCCATATTTGATGTTTCAGTTCAATTGGATAATTTGCTTTGCTTGTATCAGTATTGTTCTTCAAGTCATTATATAGCTGATGACTAGAGTCTACTTTCCATGACTTTTCGTTGGGCCTAAACAATACTAAGCCCAGCCCAGTTTAACTTTAATTGACTTGCCCACCATCTTCGTCACCTTCATTCAACCTGTTTCATTCAAAAGAGACATCTTTTCGCCATTTTTGCCAAAAAAAGGAGTGTTTTTATATGATCAAACACTCATTTATTTCTACTTCCTCATGGAATTTACAATTGAGAGAATTAGCCAAGCAAGGCCAATTCAAAGAAAGTTTACAACTTTACAAACAAATGCTTCAATCAGGCCATACACCAAACACTTTCACCTTCCCTTTTACTTTAAAGTCATGTGCTTTACTTTCTTTACCCATCACTGGTTCACAACTTCATTCTCATGTTATTCAAACTGGTTGTCAACATGACCCTTATGTTCATTCATCTTTAATCTCTATGTACTCTAAATGTTCTTTAATTTATAATGCACGTCAAGTGTTTGATGAAAGTTCTGAATCAGTTAAAAGACTTGGTGTTTGTTATAATGCTTTGTTAGCTGGTTATGTTTTGAATTCTCTACAGTTTGATGCTTTGTTATTGTTTCGGCAAATGTGTGTTAATGGGGTGACTTATACTGATGTTACAATGCTTGGGTTGATTCCAGCTTGTACTTTTCCTCAACATGTTTTGTTTGGTTTTTCTTTGCATGGTTGCATTGTTAAGTGTGGTTTAGATCAAGAACCCAATGTGGGGAATTGTTTACTTACTATGTATGTGAGATATGGGTCGATTGATCTTGCTCGGAAGTTGTTTAATTCAATGCCTCGTAAAGAGTTGATTTCGTGGAATGCTATGATCTCTGGGTATGCTCAGAATGGATTTGCCTCTAATGTATTGGATTTGTACAAGGAGATGGTGTCGTCTGGGATAGACCCAGACCCTGTCACGCTTGTCAGTGTGTTGTCTTCCTGTTCTCATCTTGGGGCTCATAGTATTGGTTGCGACATTGAAAGACGTATAGCTTGTGCTGGGTTTGGTTTGAATACTTATCTTAGAAATGCCCTGATAAATATGTATGCTCGTTGTGGGAATTTGAACCGGGCGCGAAAACTCTTTGATGAGATGCATGACAAAAACATCATTTCGTGGACAGCTATCATTGTTGGGTACGGAATGCATGGACATGGAGAGATTGCAGTACAGCTCTTCGATCAGATGTTATTAGATGGGATTCGACCTGATGGAGCCGCCTTTGTTAGTGTTCTTTCTGCATGTAGCCATGCTGGATTAAGCGACAAGGGGCAAGAATATTTCGTTGGGATGGAGAGAAATTATGGAATAAACCCTGGACTTGAGCATTATGCATGCATAGTTGATCTTCTTGGTCGAGCTGGTCGGCTTGAGGAAGCTAGAGAACTCATTGCCTCGATGCCTGTTGAGCCTGATGGAGCAGTTTGGGGTGCTCTTTTGGGAGCTTGTAAGATCCACAAGAATGTTGAGTTAGCAGAGTTAGCTTTTGAGCATGTCGTTCAGCTTGAGCCGACGAATGTTGGGTACTATGTCTTGTTATCAAACATATACTCAGAGGCTGAAAACTTGGAAGGGATAGCAAGGGTTCGAGTAATGATGAGAGCGCGGAAGTTGAGAAAAGAGCCTGGTTGTAGTTATGTTGAGCACAAGGGTAAGGTCCATCTTTTTGTTGTTGGAGATAGAACTCATCATCAAGCTACAGAGATATACAGGATGTTGGATAGGTTGGAAGATTTGATTGGTGTTAATAGCTCTAACAAAAACAAATCAGAGGATTTGATTGCCACTGATGGATATAGGAAGAAAGAGATTAATAGTGAAGATGTGGAAATACTCACTGGGACAGGGGTACACAGTGAGAAGCTAGCAATTGCATTTGCTCTATTAAACACAGAGGTAGGCAAGGAGATAGTGGTGATGAAGAATCTGAGGGTTTGTGGTGATTGCCACTTGTTTATTAAGTTGGTGAGCAAGATTGTAAACCGTGATTTCATTATTAGAGATCCGAGTCGTTTCCACCACTTTAAGGATGGAGTCTGTTCTTGCAATGACTATTGGTAATGTTATACCAAGACAACCATGCTTGCTACAAATGTTTATGGAAAAAGAACCACCAACTGTGTGCTCTATTAAGATCAAAATATCTGTCTTCCTACAGCTGCTACTGAAATAAGAACAACCAATTAGCAACCGGGAGCTATTTCTCTCCTCAGCCAGTTCAAACTGATAAGAAAATACATCTAGTTTGATATACCTTTCATCGATGAGGAACAACGAAACCTTCATCAACTTTGGTTGAACCTAGCTGAAGTATGTTCGTTTGTTTCCCTAGATTTATATCTCATTATATAAAGTGATTGATAATTTGATTGGTACTCTCTTTTATTTTTACCTTAAACAAAGGCATGATGATATATGGTTGGTTTGTTTCCATATTAAAGCTTATTTCCATTGTCTCTATCTAGGTGCTGACGAGTGGGGAAGGGGACAACATTTCTGGATTGTGAAATGCATCAACAGTTAGTTCTGAATTTTGCTATTATATTCTACTTGGGATGAGCTTTCTACGATCTGATTTCTGGATTGTGCTTTTTCTCTCTATGCAAGATATTGAAGCAGCTCAAAAGTGAAGCATTATAGATTCAAGGTGCACTGTCATTCAGGATTTACGGCAAGTAATTTTACATAAATTCCTTTTTCTTCATGAATGTCAGAAAATACATATACTTATCTCTGCTCCCCTCCAATGTAAGCATGGTGATATATGGAACGTTTTAAATAGTTCTCCCTATAATTTCAGATAAAAACTCCATACCTTTGATATGCTTGTTGATGCAATACTTATATGGTATTGTAAACTTAGTTGATTAACACCATTAATTACTTAAAAACATTTTTTAATGAATAAATTGTTTCTCCAGTCAATACCTCGGAGATGCTTATGTAGATGTCAAATATATTCATTGACAAGTACATAATTCTTGTTATTGCAGTTAGTTTGCAGATTTTCTGATCTGTAAATGGTATATGCCGATATAGTTAATGTTCGGATTTGTTAATAGTATGATTTCTTTTTTATAAACTAATACTTTTAGTTTACAATGTACATTTAGCCGATGTATATCTTGCATTCCAAAAACTTTAATGAGCTTTTGATTTGAATATTAGAAATCAACATTCAGTTGTGATCAAACTGTTGCTCCCTTGCAGACACATTCAACAGAAGTATAAATTTGAGAGAAAAAGTGGTATGGTCCATCCTTTTGGAGAGCTTAAAACAAAAGAGCACATCGATACTAACTAAGTCTTTTTTTGGTAGGCTGAGCCTGTCAGACAACCGCTTGACCATCTCAGCCACCAAAGGCAGCTGAGAACGATCCTCTACAGCAAGAAGATTCACAGTTAGAAGCTCAACCGTTAATCACACTCTGATCACAGAGTGTCCTGATTCATCCATCAGACTTTGGTTTCCTTATCCGTTTTACTCAAGATACAGAGGTACTTCCCTATAGAACAGATCCTGATTCATCCCTAATGCATCTTCTTTTCTTCTTTACCTCTAATCTTAGATCATCAATCACACCAAATTTCAAACATGTTCCATCCACAGATTATTATTTTCCTGTCAATATTTGAAACTCAATACCTGCTATGTTACACATTACACCACAAACATACTATATCCTAGATATTCTAATCAACCCCCGCCTCCTCTTTTCCAGCATTGTTTTTCCCAGTTACTTCTTTTACAACAATGGAGGTCATCACACTGTATACTTATTTGGACCCCTCATAGTTAAATTTGCTGCGTAGTCTATTACAGTAAACTATTATGTGTACAATATGAGTTCATTCACGCATATTATATATTAAAAAATTTGCATGTAAAGAATATAGAAGTTCAAGTTTATTTTATGATGTACGATAGGTATGGTACACGATTCATTATAAATGACATCCATGACACAATTCTACGATTATCAAATTTTATTCACCATGAACAACCTCACATGTTTATATTATACATGGTAGCATATTTCCTGAAACAGGCATATCAGAAATTAATATATTACACGATATATGCATTTTGACTGCTACTCAATATTCTCACTGTGAATGATCGAAGACTTACCAACATCGGATTCAATGTTCAATGAGATTGTGTGCAACATCAATTCTCTTACTATATGATACCGCCCCTTTGTCTGAATAGAACTACTAAACTTTGTCTCAGACACATCCACCTTTGTCTGAATCGAACTACCAAACTTTGCCACCTTACTATATGATACCACCCCTACATGACAAAGCTTGGTCTAGTGTTGGTTGCAGTTGTTGGGCACGGCACTGTTTTAAATCCACTGCTACCTTCCACCTAGTTCCACCCCCGTCCTCTCGAATCGAAAATGTAACCACTGTACATCCTCTACCAAATCTTATTTGTGATATGTAAATTACAATACCTCTCAAAAGTAAAATGATCAATAATTACCCTGGCATTCCTGGTCACATCAGATGTATCCTGTAATAATATATTAATATTCACTGTAAATTTCTCCAGGCTCTGTTAGTTTGAAATTAAAACAGCGTGAGTAGGACATATCAAATGTTTCGAGAATAATGTTTTGGTCATTTGTAAGCTAAGTCCTTTTATCACTAAAGGCAACTTAGTCATGTAGACCCAAACATTACTAGGAAGTTTGGGTCATATATATCTTGTAGAGAGTTCATGTTTGGTGCCACCGAAACCAATAAATAGAAGGTCTCTACTATTTGATTGCTTCGATTAGTTGATTGCCACAAAAACCAATCTGTATATGGGTGTTCTTATGGAATTTAAATCTTAGAATGAAGAAAACCTCTAATTTTGGAATACTCTGAATTTAGAGTTTGCCACCAAAAAAGTGCTAGGGAATAGTAGTTACTTATAATCAAATCAACTTTGGTATACATACTAATATCAACTTTACTGAAGGACATAAATTCATACGTATTAACTTTGGTATACCCTGAATTTAGAGTTTGCCACAAAAAATTAACCAATCACTGGTAAAAACTGTTTTGAGCCTTTGAGGTCTATTTAGATTGTTGAAAAAGAAACCATGAAATTCTCTCCACCGAAATCTAAAATATGCACAGGTGCTACATAAAAATCACTAACCAAAATAGTATGAAGATCACATATATGAAGACCTTAAGTTGAAACCTTATGAATAAAACCTTAAGTTGTTGATCAGGTATGAGGACGAATTAATATAGGTTTTGATTAAAACAGAACCTTAGATCATAGCCATTGATCAACTTAAGTGAGAAACATATCAAATCTAATCTATTTCAAAACACAACAATCGAGGCAATTTGAGCCGCAAGTAGCTTATAAACTATCTTATATATGGCTTTTGTGTGTGTAGACGTTGTCGCTTATAAACTGGATTTATTTGTATAATGCCAAGAGGCATATACATATGCCAGAATCCAGATCCACAATAATCTGACAATCTTGGGAGCTATATATTTGTGCTTCAGTTTGGAGGTCTACATTGCTGGTAACTTGTTGGGCAGCTGGTCTAGCATACGTTCTGACTGCATGGGCGCGTTGTAGCTGGATGGAAGTGGCAAAAATATTCAATAAACAGCGAAGTGAGCAGTTGCGCCACATTACATTTAATTTCTATAGACGCCGAAGCTTAATTAGGGATTAGTAGTAACGATAGGATTTGGCATAAGCCATATTGGTGGAGGCCAAATCCTCTTCCTACGACCATTATAGCCCTGTAATGGTAATGGTAGTGTCTGAAATCTCGTTTTCTCTCTATTCAAGTAGAACACACCAAGATCTGATCCTGCTACATTCTGCCTCAAATGATCTTGACTTTCATAATCGTCATCAGTGAAATAAATACAATTCCCCTTACGTGAACATTGTACTAGATGGTGGGATGAAATAGAGAAAGATTCATTGATCCCAAGGAACAGCACCTGTTCACCTAAAGTCTCTACTTCACACCATCTAGATTTGGTTTCGGAATTCTTGTTCAACTTGAATATTTTGAAATCAACTGTTTCATAGAACTTGGATTGTGTTTCTTCTATATCTCGATCCACAATTAGTAATTCACCATCACACGATATCACCAAGTAGAGCTTGTGCAAGGAGAACTTGTATTCACTTGGCAGACGCGCGAAGTGCTCTGCCTTTGGAGCAGACTTGGCCTCAATTTCTTCATCAGGCAAAACAATGACCATTCCCTGGTAGTCTACAGCATAGAATTTTCCATCATAATGCATAACATCCTCAAAAGGATTCCATTCTCCTTCAATACTTTTCCATCTATCATCTCCTAGTCTACAACACGCCAACTTAAAGCGATCTCCATAGATAGCCATGGCAAAGCAATTGTTGTCAGTAATAGGACTTGAAGATAATACCACCTTATGAATGAGCTTGTGTTTCATCTTTGCTAAACTTATAGGAAAATTCAGATAACTTTCGTAATATGCCATTTGAATAGTATATTCTTCACCAGTTCGTTCTGGACAGTATTCCAATACGTTGGGGAAGGTGTATATTGGTGGAAGCTCGAATTGAATACTAGTTAGCGGATTTATGAGACGTATGGAAGGACCATCTTCTAATCTAACTAGCCATCCTTTTGAGGATCCTATGCACAATGTATTTAGAGCCTCTGGTACTTGGAGATTATAAACCTTGCCGCCTTCTCCTGTAAAAATACTGAAAAAATCACAATGTGTATCGTCTTTTTTATCATAAGGAAGCATCAAACATGGTAATGTAGTAGGTAAATTTTTAAGTCTTTTTGAGAGAATAGACTGCCACACTTTGCAAACCAAACTAAGTCGCAAGTAGTCATTAAAAGAGCCTAGTCTCAACACAATTTCCTCAAGTAGGTCTTCATTGAGATTTATCCACGAATCCATATTGTTAATAATGGTATGTAGAAAATAAAAGTTGGATGACAAGATCTATAAATAAGTCTCTGATTTACTGCATAGCGCGCTTTATTTATATTTATAGAGAAAGAAGGATTAATTCCTGTTAGCATTAGTATTCAATTCCATACATATCTCAAATTCTAAATATATACGTAATCCTAACCTTACAAGTATGCATACAGCTACTAGGAATACTATTTGGAAACCATCTCCAGCAATTAACATGTTTCAATCAAAGGTTTCATATATTAGCCACGTAATGAGTAAGATATATCCAACGGTGTTGGAAGTCGTCTAATAAGTTGCATTTTCTGCAATATTGCAATGTACGAAGGTATTATAAAAAACAGCTATTCTAGTATCTAAATCTAGTAGTGTGGGACCTTTAAGCTGTCAAATTGAAAATCTAGACCATACATGTTGTGTTTTTATTTCCAACACATGAACAAATCAATATGTGAAAACACTATTAAGTCAAATGATGAGTTTGGTTATCATAATCAAACTCATAATCTAATACTAAGTTACTAAAACCTTTTATTTATGACTTTGTGCTCTCAAGTCTGAACCTTGCCAAGATTTCCATCTGCCACAAACATGGCTGGCAACGATAGGATCATGGTGGTCTGCAATTAGACTCAATAGAGACTGATAGATGGGAGTTGCATTCAGAGATATTGCAGATGGAACTTGCATTTAACTCATTTCAGTAATGCGCAGTCGCGCGGTGTCTGAACAGCAACAAGTATTGCCTCCATTGGAAGTTTGAATCTTTAAAAGAGAGAAGAAATGATGAGTTGAAACATATCCCATACATAAAAGAAATATACACTCTTTAGTACTGAATTTTAAAAAGACCAAGAAAGAAAAAACCTTATAACTGAACGAGTCGGTTCCACATGAACCTATGCCCTTAAACAAAATAAGAACCAAGTCCTGTCACATATATATACATACCAAAACAAAAACCCTGAGTATAAAACTCTCCATCTCAAGCTAACCTAGAAATCTAGAATTGTGAATTCAATAAATATTCAATAAACAGCGAAGTGAGCAGTTGCGCCACATTACATTTAATTTCTATAGACGCCGAAGCTTAATTAGGGTTTAGTAGTAACGATAGCATTTGGCATAACCCATATTGGTGGAGGCCAAATCCTCTTCCTACGACCATTATAGCCCTGTAATGGTAATGGTAGTGTCTGAAATCTCCTTTTCTCTCTATTCAAGTAGAACACACCAAGATCTGATCCTGCTACATTCTGCCTCAAATGATCTTGACTTTCATAATTGTCATCAGTGAAATAAATACAATTCCCCTTACGTGAACATTGTACTAGATGGTGGGATGAAATAGAGAAAGATTCATTGATCCCAAGGAACAACACCTGTTCACCTAAACTCACTACTTCAGACCATCTAGATTTGGATTCTGAATTTTTGTTCAACTTGAATATTTTGAAATTAACTGTTTCATAGAACTTGGATGATGGTGTTTCCTGGAGAAAAGATCTATAAATAAGTCTCTGATTTACTACATAGCGCGTTTTATTTATAGAAAAAGAAAGATTAATT